TTCCTGGCCCGATGTGTGATGAAAGCCGCATTCCCACAATAAAAGCTATATCTGCATGCAGATGGCAGTTCATTATTCTTAGCCCTGAGGGTTCGCTTCAGAGACCTCCAACATAACTGTCAAGAAGCCACGTTCTGGGTTTAGTGAGTATGGTGATGGCCTGTGTGAAGGCCACTTTGCTGTCGCACTGGTTTCTGACTGCCGGACCCTACTAGACTGGTGAACCTCTGGTTTTAGTTCTTGGCATCCTGGTGCCGGTACGCCAGAAGTGTTCATCGTTATTTCTGTAGCCATTGGTCTGTGAGATAGTACTTTTGTGACGGGTACCGTTTGTAGTGCTCTTGAAGGCTGCCCTTCATCTTCTAGTCTAGAGCCTGGCACCTCTCATCAGAGATTTTACGCACCGTCATGGCCTAAGAGCCTCTGAAGCTGATCCCTAGGAGTCTAATCGTACGGAGGCAATCGGGCTGTAGAGGCGTTGCTTGCAGGCAAATTGTCAGGTTCCATGCCTGCCGCTAGACATCGCCACTGCTTATCATAATGAAGGCACTAATCACACTTGCTGGAAGATTTCACCAGTTCAGGTTTTCTGTGCACCACAATGGTCACAGCCTTTTGCAGTTCACTAACCCCGACTTTCCTTTCGGCCGCTCTGGTAACCTATGGTTTATCTGGCCTAGCCCGCACATCACAGGATTTTGCGGAGTCTGGTTGGCACAGCAGCAGTGGTATGCCCTCTTACAGTTTCGCCGTTACTGATGACAACCTGGCAGGTGGTGGCTCACCCCCAGGTGGTCCAGGTGCTTGATTTCGCGTCAAATCAATTCTGTGAAAACCGGTGTGCTGTGAGCCTGTGTCTCAACCACCAATTGGTAAAGGGCTAAAACTTCTAACCTAAGTCAGTGTTGTCAACTCCTCTGGTGGCCACTTTCGACGATAAAGAAGAATAATTTTCTTCCGCGAATGTAGGAAGAAATCAGTCGTTCTCTTTTTTGTTTACTGGAAATGAAGCTGGAAATAAGTTAGTGAAAACGAAGTGGCATACGGACTCGGTTGTTTGGTGATAACAATAACTATAAAGTAGAGTCGGGGCAGGTTTTATAGGCGGTAACCAGGTGAAGGTTAGCTACAGATGAAGCTATTGAATGAAGAACCATGGGATTAAATCATTCTTTGCTATCTATCTCTTTCACCTGCCTAGGCAGCATCGTTTCAACTACAGGTGGCGGGTACATAAGGGTGTCAAAGCCAGGACTGGAAAAGCAAGATAGGCTGTCCCTCACTAATCTGAATTCAGAGTGGAGATCTACCGCACTGCACTGCACCACACCCAGTATAAAGAGCAAGATCTGGATTTTCAACACTGATGTCAATCAACTCAGTGCTTTGTGTGATGGTTGAGAGACTTGGTGCGTTACGGAAGGCACTTCCACAAACTGGAGACACATGCTAATAGCTGCCTATACTCGATACTGGGGTCGGATTCGAAGAGTGATGAGAATAAACAACAAGGAACTCTGGCCTAGCAACGAACCAACCAGCCAAGAACCCACCACCCACCAAATGTGCAGGAAAAAGTGGGGATGGACATGGCACACACTAAGAAGACCGGTTGAGGAAATCACGCATCATGTCGGGCCAGGCCACGGTCTCGAATGGAACCCAAAGGTGAAAGGGCAAGCTGGGCGTCCGTGGCGAGGGTGACGTGGAGGAGATGATCTGAGGAACAAATGAAAACTTGTGGGGAGCGATGGAGCCAGGTTGAAAAAACTGCAGAGGGGAGAGGGAAATAGTGGCGTGCTACTGAAGCCCTATATTCCATCAGGAACCCAAAGGACAAATCATAATAATAATGATCTATGACTGCTGGCCAAGTTCTGTTTTGCGATACCCTTTGGGTTCTCTTTTTTGAGAAATGGAAGTACTTTTAAGCATGGCCAGTAACTGAAAACGGTATTTAACCTCTCTTTTTCTTCTCCATGACTCACCTTATTTCTAGCACTTTTCCAAGTAAAATTTGATGCTTGCTTATCGGTACTTAAGGAAACAAGAACTACAAAAGGGTTGTTGAATTCATCAGCAGCAAAGGTGCACCCTCAAACAAAGCAAGATAAAATTTACAGGATAAAATACTTCTAAATAGACAATCCCTACCTCCAGAGCTATAAGCGACAAAAACATAGAGACTTGTGTGCTCACAGAAAGAGTATAACCGAACAAAGAGAGCCATGCCTCAAGTCCGAGAAAAGAGAGCTCAAAAACAACAAGTTTCTTCTACTTGCACTACTGATGTTAGATGTTGGACGTGGGAGGTTTTCACATTCTCGCATAAGATGAGTAAACATAAGCAAGTATGTTCTACGTATGCCAATGGATCCATTTTGCTGAATCATCAGTGTCTAGTGAGAAACGTAAGGGTTTCCTACTTAACATAATATACACCGCATAGTTTGACTATAACGGTACTGCCATTCACGGTAACTTGCAGGCTTAGATATTTATTTTTGTTCACACTTTTATCAAATACCCATTGGACATTATTTGTATGGGATATATTTGGCCTTTATTTAGGTTGAATTGAGTAAATCACTGTCTAATTTAAAGTGTAAAATGCAGTCATCCAGCATTTTTCATGACCTTGGTGAGTCAAATTCCAATAGAAATACTGGGCCAAGTGAGGCCTCCGTTTGTCCCTATGATTTATCATTCCCATATTTCCTACATATTTCTTTGAGGTTTCCTTTTCTATCTAGGCTTCCTTATATATATATATTGATTTGGATGGATGCCTTATTATGTAGAGCAGAGCAATTGTGCGGTCAGTAAGTTATCCTGAATGGGTCTCAGAGATGGGTTTTATTTTATTTTTGTTTCGAGCACAAGCTTTACAACATGGTTGTCACTGAATGAAAAGAATTGGGGCTACTTTGGTTATCTACCCCCAAAAGATGTCTTATGCTACATGCAGTTGTAAGCAAATCTTAAATTACCGTAATGCTTTAGTGATACAAACTGCAGTTTAAGACCTTGTATGCCTTCAAGTATTGGATTTGGCTTCATTGGCCCACGGGGGAAGATTAGCGTCAGATTAAGATATTCAGTATTTTGGGAGAATTCCAATCAGTAAACCACTCGCTCTTAGTCTAATACTGTAGCCACCCGACCACTTCTCAAACTTGACTTAACTCCAAAAGACAAATTGAGCAGAAAGAATACTCCTTGGTATGATATTTGTACCACCCATCAATTTTATGACAATTAGCTCGTTTTCCCACATTGATTTTGAAAACGTATGTGACCTCAGGACGTTTTCAGTTTTGTAATGCCATGGTTAAACAAACAAACAAACGTAAACTTGGCTAACTTAACAACATTTTTCATGTTATCACTTTATAGATGTTGAATTTACGGTGTCTAAGCGGTTTCTTTTAGTTTATTAAAGACACGAATATTTCAAAGGTATATCGATAATAACGTCCAGGCGCTTCAAAATCGCACACAACGAAGTTACATGGGAAGTAATACTGGAGTTGTGTTTGATTTTAGGTAGGAAAAGTAATTCGGTTGGTAAAGCTGTGCAGAAGCTTCAATTGAATTGGTCCAGACTGATATATTTTAGATCATTAACAATTAAATCGGTCAGAAAGATGTTATAAAAAACCAATTAATAGTATTAAAAAAACCCAAAAGAATGAAGTAAGAGAGGTAAACTAGTCTAGAGAAAAAAGTATCCAATGGTAAAATGTTTGGATTTTAGGCGAGGTAGAATTATAAATGAATCGATGACACGAACTGGTATTCAACCATAACAAACCCCCTTCATGCAACCAACAGATTAAATTTTTGCTTACTGTAAGTGTAGTTCATAAAAGAGCACACAAACGTGTACTTGACTGTTGATTTCTGTTATTACATTTGCTGTCGACAACTATCTAGTAGGGTAAAGTGCACTATCGTAAAATATTCCAAGTTCCATTGGTATTCAGATATATCCTCTGCATCAGTGGCATGAACTATTGGGAACCAAGTGAGCCAGTTGTATTTTTGTTGAAGACTCGCTATCAAATGTCCTTCGGCTAATGAAGCCCTTTAAGTGGATGACGTCATCAGCATTCTCAGCTACTATTATTTCTTAAATAGCATGGATGCATGTATTCGAGGGATAAACGACGTCTTGAAAAATTTCACACTAACACTATGTTTTTCATATGTCAATATTCTGTGGTTGGCTAGGGTGTCAAGTGTCTGACGTTGTAACAGTCATTGATTACAGACATACGTTCAGGTGACTAAAGATCGCTGCCAATAATTTTGATATGATCACTTTAATTTGTTATTAACTCTTATTGACTGCATCCTGTTAATATAGATCGTTAGGCAACCCTGGTACAAAGTTGAGGCGTATTGGTGTACAGACTCGATTTTCACCCAGTACATAGTGAATGTAAACTCCAATTGCTCCTACCGAGTTCAGAATAGCCAAATAGCTTGATTATCCCTCAAACAAAGTGTAACATACTGTCTTCTGGCTACAGAGTTTTTTGAAATAAAGCTGTCGGTCGGTTTTCATGTGAAATCTAATCTCTATTCTGTTTTCCTACTGTGGAGCACCAGGCGTTATTTCGTGTATGGAATTAAAAATCTCCCAAGGAATTTAGAAATTGTTCAAATCTGAATTCTTATGTTACAAGCGCCTTCTAGTCATATATTTCACACTAAATGTGATTAAGGTTCAATAAAGTCTCCACTGTAAACAGTTACTCATCTTGAAATCTGAAAATGTTTCATATCATTAGTAAAACTAAAGGTCTCGTGAATAATATTGTGCTACCAAACTTCTTCGTGGCAAAAGCAAGATGTTTCGGGATCACAGTTTATATCTGTTTGTTTATTGAAATCTTTACTAAGACATTTTTAAAACGAGATAACGTTTACTTTCAGGTTGAAAAGCTATAATCAGTGATCAACGTTATTAGTGCATTCGTCAACTGGACATAACAATGAAGAAGTATGTTTTCTCGTTTGCTGCCTCTGAATTTGTAAATTTCCGCCTGATTGAATTCAAATCTTTGGCTGAAATTGGAAAGCTGAATTATCGTGTCAGTGAATCTAAAAATGACTGGCTAAAACCTTATATAGTGATAGAAATGGACCATGATGAAGCAGTCGTGTCAATAATTGAACGTAGTGTTCTAATTAAGGCTGCTTTTCATTTATGGTGTGAAGCATCATCACTACCAGAACTGATTAAACAAGTTAGTTGTATGAAAATTCTCCTAATCTATATGTATGTATTTATAGGTTAGCAATCTTCCTGATGAATTGGTAGACCCTTATCTCAACAGTTCTGGTTCATTCAAACTGGTCTTAAGTTCTGCACATAAGAAGTTGAAGCAAGAAGAGAAGGTACCTATAATAGAAGCTGTTCTTGATGCACACAAACGAATTGATTCTCAAGTATCTTTATCTTCACCAGATGTGAGTATTTTGTAAGTTCTTACGTATAAGTCTGAAGTTACTTTTATTTCACTTTATACAGTGTTTTTAAAAAATTTATTTCAAAATATTGTCATTTTGTATTCCTCTACGTAAACAATGCATCAGTTTCTTCAAAACATTTTATAATCCATTGAGCAGACAGACACAAATCAACTTATGACCTCGCACACAAGGGCATCAGCTCAAGTTACCGCACTTCACAGTAGGATGCAAGGAATAGGTGTATGGAAAAAGTGATGCCAAAATAGACAAAGTTGTGTGAGAAAATAAACAATGTAAAGATAATGGTTAGTGCAGAAATTTAAGCTTTATAAGACGTCAGGAACTGAATACATTGTGACCAATTTTCACTCATATCACTAAGAATTCTCAACCGCTGATTCCTGTCGTCTCAGGGACCCTAACTAGGCAGTCTACACTTTCTTACATCCGCTCATAACAACAGTTGCGGATTTCATGGGCCGACCCCACGACTGAGTCTGACCACCCTGGGCCTTCGTCCAACCGAACCCAGCTTCTAACATTTCATGTCGAGATAGGCAGTGACATGCGCAGTACGTGTCAAAACCATCTCAGACGTTGAAGGTTTGCAACCTCGCCTAATACCGTTCGCCTGATCTCTACATTCCTCACACGGTGATCTCATCATACGCGAGCAGTGCCACGAAGGCACCTGTGGTCAAAGACTTCCAACCGCTTTATGTCCTCTACTTTTAACGGCCATATCTCACAGCCATATAACAAAACAAAATCGATTGTAGCAGCGCGGTACACTTGTCCTTAGATAGATAGTCGGATATCTCAGTAGCAATTAGCCTCGATCACTACTTGTTTATCCTTTAAAAATTCTTCCTATCCCCCAGCAGTAGGTGTTTAGTGCTTTTGGTTTATTAAAAAGCCTCTTGAACATCTACACACACCTCTCGAAGGTATATTTTCGATGTTACATAAAGACTCGTGTAGAAAAATATCTTTGACCATGTATAACATTTTTAAAAAGTACATGGTCTTTTATCATTATTCACTTAACACCACTAAAACAACTCTCAAGACTCCATATTATCTATTTAACGAATCTCTAAACTTTATTTGACTGCGTAGGTATTAATGATGGATAGTAGTTGGCAGTGGAATCCAGGACTCGCATTCCGTTCTATTTGGGAGCAGTCGGCTGGATGTACCTGTCCGCCAGTGAGTATTCCTCCTAAGGCTCGAACCGAGGACCAGTCGCTTCAAACGGCAAAGCTCCTTCCACTAGACCCTTGAGTCGCGATAGCTACTCTCTGTGCAAAGGGTATAGTATGGTTTTTCTGTTACGGCTTTTAAGTCTGGTCATCGATATCCATCATTCATACCTAAACTGAAAATTCCGGTAACACTGAAGGCATCCTCACAGGAGCCCAGTTGCCAATAGTGACCGATCAACTCGGCTCAATAAACGACAGGAACTTACAAGCGATGACATAGGAACTATACTATACCCATCTCACAAGAAGTGGCTATCGTGGTTCAATAATCTAGTGGGAAGTGGTGTGTTTGAAGCGATCGGTCCTGGGTTCGAGTCATAATGAAAACAACATCACCCACTGGGAGGCAGGTGCATCCAGCTGACGAGCACCAAACAGAACAGAACACATCTTGGATTCCGCTGCTAATCACTTTATCATTTTATTATTTGTCCTCTGGGTTTCTAGTGGAACATAGGGCTTCAGTAGCACGTCGCCATTTCACTCTCTTCTCTTCAGTCTTTTTAACCTACCTCTACGACTGCCCATAAGCCTTCATTTTTTCCTCACACAATCTCCTCCATATCACCCTAACCTCGGACGCCCAACTCGTTTCCCATTCGGGTTCCACCTGAGGGTCTGGCCCTGCGCGTGATGTCCCCAAACAGTCTTCTCAGTGTATGCCCAATCCATCTCCACTTTCTTCTGCATATTTGTTGGGTGATAGGTTCTTGGTTGGTTAGTTGGCAGGCTAGAGTTCCTTGTTGCTTATTCCTATTATTCTGGCCATGTGATCTTCAGTATCGAGTGGGTGTAGGCAGCAGCTCTCGATGTATGTCTGTAGTTTGTTGGAAATGCTTTTCGTAACGCGCCAAGTCTCTGAAGCACTAACTGCTGCTAATCACTACCCATCATTAATATCTAAACTGAAAATACCTGCAGTAATATGGCATCCTTATAGATGTGCTCTATGTGCCAAAAGTGGGTGGTCAGTTCGATCCAATCAATCAACGACGGAGTCTTACAAGGCAAAACAGAGGAACTATTCTTTTACTGTTGATTATATTATTTATGATAGTCAGTCGTGATATAACCAACTGACCGGTAATTCTGTATTTCAAAACATATCCGAATATCGTATGTTGACCATTTTTTCACTAAGACAAATCTGCCTTGCAAATAATGGTTCTTCAATATGACATTTCTAATCTAAAAATTAACATGGGATTACTTTGTACTCTGGTACTCACTGCCTGTCTTCATATTAGTAAGAAATCATTCTCAATACATACCCATCGGCTAAGACCCAGCATAGATGATGTAGACGGTATTTTAATTGGTAACTAAGTTGTAATATGTAGTTGACTTCTCTTTAGATAAAGAGAGTTACTTGGTGATCGTTAGGGTTCTTAATCATGTAATATAGGTAACAGTTGACAAAGTGAAGTAACTGAACTGTTACAACAACACTAAATCTATTCACTCAGCGGATAATTATGTATACAAGCCCGAAGGATAGGAACCACTGAAAGCGTTTCGTCACAGATACGAATTTGATTCAGACTTCGAATACAAAAGTAACAGAATTTAATGAAATCATAAATTTTAGTAAAATTGTCAACTAACTACTCATAATACTTGATTATATACACCATGATACAGGAATACATCTATAACACCAACGGATAGATTAATTTAAGCGTTACAACGTGGAAGCGAATACTTTTTACGACAACTACAACCGCTTTCATGCACCATATAATAAAGCACGTCTATTTGTGAGGGAACTTATGATCCTACCTGACTACGTGAACCTCAGCAAATAGATCAGAGTTCAGAACTTTGACCTACTGGTTAAAAGTCAAATGTCTACACCAATGAGCCACAGCTCTACACATTTAGATTATTCCATATGCAAAAGATATTTCAACGTCTCTATAGTTTTCATAATAACATTGGGAATGCAGCAGTTCGAATGAACTCCGTTCTTTTTTGTCAACTGCTTGGTGATGGCTAGTACTGGGATCTAGAAGGTGCATTTCATCCCATTTGGGTATCACCAGATGGATCTACCTGCATCTCAGTGAATGATGGTGATCCCACTGACATACAAACCAAGCACCCATCACTTCCAACTCCAGAACATTATCAACTTGGCTACTGGGTGTTGAGAACTACTTTGTAGCTGCTAGTGGCAGGTTCTGGGTGTGGATCTCAACGGAAGTATCAACACTTACTCGGGGACACATGAAAATCCTTGGTTTTACTGCTAGTAACAGTCAGATAAGACATAAATGTAGGAGTAAAATTTAGTAACCGCGTTAGATTTTAATTTCATTTCGGAATGTTTATTATATGGATCACTCAGTGGATCAGTATTATTTACTGGACACAATTTACTGTTCATATTCACATTAGGTGACTCCATAACTTCAAGATTTGGTTTATACAGTTCTAATCCTCTCTCCTTCTTTGTGATAAAAGTAGTAAACTTTTTCATATATCTGGAATAGCTTCAGAATCATTCCTATCGCATGTATGTGGTATTGTAATAAGTAGCAGTTCCCTTATTATTTTCACTCTCCACCCGACTTAGTTTTTAATATTGTCGCTGCGTCCCATACTATTGTGTGATGGATTACTATAACCGAGGTTTTCTCTAAATTCCCTAACCTATTAAGATCTACTAATCTTGATTTAACTTGGCTTTTATGCTCAGACAGTCTAATTGACCATGATCGACTACTTTGATCTATGCATTTGACCTCACAATCATTGCAAGGGATTTAGTAAACTGAATTATTTTACTTAATTAGATTATTAATAAAAGTCCATGATCAATTCCAACCTAAAACCAATTAGTAAACCTCCACAAACCTCCAGATAAAATTAATCTAGCCTTCATTGGTGACTAGCTTCGTGAGGTGATTCCCGAAGTCCCAATGAGAAGTCGTGACCAGTGGAGTCAACCAAGTCGAACATGAGGATAGGTCCTCAGCGACGACATCGGATATAGGTCGCGGTATATCGTGAACTGACAGAAGTAAGAAATGTGGACCATTGGATTCCGACCCAGTGGGTCAATGGTAACGTGCTGGTCATGGAACCTGAAGGTCATGGGTCCGACCTCTGGCAGGGTCATAAGTGCACACTGCTGAGGAGTCCCGTATTAGGAAGAAACAGCTGTACAGTGCTCCTAGGTTTCTAACGTTCCTCCGACTGATGTCAATCCGTGATGAGTTCCAACCTAAAATAAAATTTCAGCCTAAAAAGTGAGTTTGTACATTTAATGTCGATATATTAAATGCCACTATGATCCTAACCTTGATGAAGATTCTCTGCAAAGTTTCTATGATGTCTTCCTCGTATGGTAACATACAACAGTGACCTATTCATCAGCTCACTGTTCTCACTGTCTTTTTTATTTCCTTAGCATCAAATCAATATCCTTCTGGAGTATACACCTAAAAATCTTGGAAAGAATACAATTAGTTCTGGTGGTTATTTGTGTCGATTGTTATACGGTCGGCTAATTGGTAGCAGTATACGAAAGGATATGATTAAAAATTTCCGTTTATCGGAACGAACACATTTAGGCAATACAACTATGGATGTTAGGCTGGCAGCAATTATGGCTAATGTTGGACTTTGTCAAAAATTCTCCTTAGTATGGGATCCTTTTATTGGAACTGGAAGTACTGTAATAGCAGCTTCTGTATGGGGTCTTTTGGAGCTGGTTCAGATATCGATTATGCTTTGCTTCATGGAATGGGTATGTCACCAAAAGCTGGTCAAGTGAGTTAGTTTCGTTGAATAAATAAGATTTTGATAATGAATTTAAAAATTCTAAAGAAATTTAAGTATATTTCATGTTATTGGAGAAACTATAAAAAATCATGGGGCATAAAGTTGATGTCCACTTGTGTTATAAAACACCTCAAAAGTATAGAAGTATTGGCGTGAAATCAGTTTTCAATACAATGATAATTAGCTCAATATGGATTGTTTGAAGTTGTTTTTGGAAATTGTAAAGATTGAAAGAAAAATAGCTTCACTGTGATTGAAAATACTAATCCATTGTAATTGATCCCAGCAATTCATAGAGGTTGAAGTGCTCTTTCCCATGTATTATGTGTTAGTTTCGTACCTCTGAAGACTCATAGAATAAAGATAAACAAGTGTCTAGTACTTTTTTGTCTCCAGCAGTTTTTTTTTCTTTACTAACCTTAACATAAATTTACAAAAACCACCAGGATAACGAATTAAGTCGTACATCAACTTGTAACATTCTTTTTGAAGAGATTTTTCTGTATATATTGTTTGTTATCTTTTAAATTATAGACGTATTTTCTTTTGCATAGTTTCCATCCTTAGTTTTAATGTGTAATTATGATATCCTGTAAGTTACTGAGACTTTTATCATGGGTTGAAACGAACTCAATCGGGTAGCATCATTAAATATGAGCCTTCATCGACTGACATATGTTACCCATGCCTAGTCACCGTCTGCTTCATCATGGAATGTTTGGGTTTAGGCTGGAAAAAGGTTAGGGGTACGCAATGCAAAACATATCATCATTGGGTGAAGTCTTAGACTATTGATCTAAGCCATATAGAGAGATGCACACTGGTCGGTTAGAGTCCGCATGACAACAGAAACCAAGTGGTTGGTGACTCTAGGTGATATAACTTGGAATCGATTTCAGTGGCGTAGATGTATCTTAATCGTTATACGAAATTCAGCATTTTCTTATTTCTTCTTCCCCTCCTCTATTTTACTACTCTCTACTACCTTTGACAGATTTTTCGCTCTTTCTTCATCTTTCATCCTGTTGCTTTGTTACTTGTTATGGTGAGATGAGGTTTTGCACCTTAAACCGTTGTGTAGTAATGTCTGGTTCTATGCTGATATTGATGATGGTTAGATGTAACTTGCAGTCGAACACACAAACATATGTGAAGTTGCCGAATTACTTAAAATTGACTTCTGTCTGCACCTCTGAAGTGTCTATAGTCCATATAAGGTTCATGAAATCTCCCCAACTGAATCAACTAATGTCTGGGCAACCAGATATTATTATATTCTGCGAATACGTGCAGCTTATATCTTATTATATAAACCTCTAATTCAGTAGTTATTTGTGATATAATAGACCGGATAGTAAAATTTCAGCCACTTTATTCCAAACCAATATACAGTTGATATGATTTAGTGGTTGCTTAGTGAATGTGATACATAGCATGGTGTATACGACTATATACAAGATTATTTGATGACAGTGTATTCTGTTACTTTACAATTCTACATTGTTTCGATCTGTTGCGATGCATTTGTTTCCACGTTTTTTCCCATGTTATAGCCTATTCATTTTTCGATTTTGACCATGTTTCCAATTAAATTGTAATGAGAGAATTGATAGATACTACCTAAAACCGAAAATATTACTTCTCAAGGTAACTTGTGAAATGAATACTTAGGACTAAATGAAAATTTTCATTTTTTGAAAGTCTTTATCTTAAAATTATATGATGGATCGAAATGGTACATTATTTCAAGTTGCCTAACTTATAAGTAGGAAAGTTTTAGGAGATCGAAAGGGACAATGAATCACAAGAGTTACTTAACCTGTATGTCATAAACACTTTCACACTCTGTACCCAAGAGTTGTATGAGTTATATAATCATGCTGAAGTGAGTGTAATGGAATATAAACTGGATACCCAAAGTCTTGAAGGTGAACACTTAAACTACTAGCAGACCACATCATAACCAGAGGAAGACAATAAAAGAAGAAAAGTAATACAATTCAAACGTATTTGGATGAATCTACACCAGTGACATCAGTCTTAAGATGTATCAGTTAGTGGTTCTAAGCATCTCCTTCTAGGATTTTATGAAGCTGTAACAACCAACTTACAACTACCCTCAGAGCTCAGATTAATTGTTGTCAATTCCATGGATTATATATTTATGATACATAGTGGTCAGAAGTGGAATCCAGGACGCGTGTTCCGTCCTGTTTGGGACTCGTTAGCTGAATGTACCTGCCTCCGGTGAAGTAGTGTTATTCCCACTGGGATCAGAACTCAGGACCGGTCGCTCCAAACTCCAGAGCGTAATCCACTAGACCACCGAGTCACGATAGCCACCTCTTGTGCAACGGGATAGTTTTAATGTTGTTGCTCGTATTATCCTGCCGTTGACTGGACTGAATTGATCTGTCTCTATTGGCATATGCGCTCTTGCATGGATGCGTCAATAATGCTTGTGTTTCAGTCATGTATTTATGATGGCTGCTGGCGAGCAGTGAAATCCAGGACTCGTGTTTCACCTCATTTGGACTCGTCAGCTGGATGTTTATCCATCATAAATACATAGTTGAAACACAGGCAGTATGGAGGGGTCCGTGCAGGAGCCCATATACCAATAGTAACCGATTAACTCGGTCCAATCAATGACGGGATAATAAACATGGTAACATTAACTCCATAGATTGGTGTTACAATACTACTATTATTAAGTATAGCAACTTAATAATATTATGTATCACTGTATGGGGTGACAGCTGAGACCCAGCCTAACTTTTGATTTTTACACCAACACCCCTTTATCAATGAATGATTTACATAGAATTTAATGTCATTTTAACTGAAATCTTTTGTTTTTCATGTATCATCCCATACAGGAAAAACGTTGTGGTGAAACTTTACGATCAAATTATGAACAATATAAACTAGAATCACGTTATTTGGATGTTATAGTGGCCGATACTGTTTCTTTACACCGATTATTACGTGTTCCTTATGATGGTTTATTCGATGCTGTGATAACAGATCCACCATATGGATTCCGTGAACGTAGTTGTCGAGTGGCTGATCAACCATTAGAACGTAAACCTACTCTTGTCACCAAAGATCGACTGGCTGAAATTATGGGAATAACTCATATTAGGTATGTACATGGATATTGAATTAATTGATATTGTAACCTTGCCTAACAGAAAATCCTGTCCGTTAATTTTAAACATCTTTTCAGGAACTAGCTAGTTTTTTTCTTTAAAAAAATCTACATGATAATGGATAGTCTGGTGATCGGTCATCATTTAGGACCCCCCCCCACACACACACTATTCAATGTACCTAATCCAGTCCTACAGGAGGTCAGTCGTGGCCCGAATAGCTCAGTAGTAACGTCGCTGACTACAACACTGGTTGACACGGATTCAAATCCAAGATGGTATATCAGTTCCGTTAGGGTTGCAGATACGCCTTGCTGACGAGTGCCAACGAGCACGAAACCTAATTTGAATTAAATGTAATGGTGGATCCAGTCACCAAGAGATGCATTTTATCGTGTACCGCGGCGCTTTACCACCCGCTTGCTTATCTTGCCTCACTTTCACCCAAAAATCTTATGCAACATTTGTGTCAAAACAATCGTGGATAGGATAAATCTGTTGAACAAAACATTCTTTTGAACTGGAAAACTTGGCTGATCGGTGCTAAGAAAATTGACGCTTGAAGGGATCCACATTGTTCGAAACCTCAAACATTCTACACCACTGGAGCTTCGCTGCATATGTCTCCGGATGCATCAGAAGTTGTGGACAGTAGCTTACTTATGCTTTGAGTCATTTTAATAACAAGTGCATTGCAACTTTCGTATTGGCAAATTTAAAGTTCAGGCTAGATGTTGGCAGCTGAAGCGTTGTTGATAACCAGTAGAACTGTGTTTCAAAGTGTTCTGCCCAACATTCTAGCTGCTTGTTCTTGGAGGTTATCAGGGTCCAATTCTTTTCGGTGATGGCTTCGCCTACCGTTGGTTTCTTCTTGCCGGTTTCCCTGATAGGCCTTAATTGTTGCCAAGTGTTACCCGAAGCTGATGCCTTCTCCATCTCTCTCTCGATACGCATCAATGCTGGCGATCATTACGAAGACTCTTGGTCAGTTTACGCCTTAGTTCCTTTCGCTCTTCCTCGTGGTCAGAGCCAGCTGGAATCAATCTTCTCGCATCAAACAGTCCGGTTGACGACGCGGAAATCCAATGACGTTTAGTAACCTTCGGATATAGGTTACCAGCTGTCGTTAGTGCTATTTCTATAACAGACTTAATATCACGCCAGGTTTCTTCAGGATGAGCATTCCTGTCATATTCAGATAGTTGGCTTATCCCTGAATGCATATTTGACGTTCTCGTATTTCAGTGAAGTCTAGACAGGCTTTACTGTCACCAGTTTCCTACGACCACTAAGGCGCAAGCGTAAACTTGAAGATATTGCTCAAACTCGTTGCCATTCTGCAGACGCTTCATAAGAGTTCGCGAAAGGTTATGATACTCTGAATTCAGGCACAACCTGTTTTCAGCATACTTTCGAATACGTGAAAAAAACGTCAACATTATAAGTCCATAAAACGACTAACTTCTTCGAATTCAACGCACTCTGTGATACTGTGAGAATCAAGGCACATAAGAGTGACTTGTATATATTAGCAACAGGTAGAAGATGCCGATGGAATAAACTCATTGTAGAATTTTGCAACTGTTTTCGATGGAAGATGAAAAAAATTGAACATATCGTGCGTTACAAAATTCACAGTGGATAACTTGGTAGGTCTCTATCGACGTACACATGACATATTTGGAGTATATGTTAACGGCTTTCATTTGCCTACTTGCCTTCTATTTTCATGTATTTGCATTAATCTAATTATAACTACCAACATTATTATTCAACGTTCATTTTGGCTTTATTGTAATATCAACATTGGGCCACAAAGCAAGAATTTGAAGACAGAAAGTGTATACATCTACACTAGTGTGCCTACGGTTTGTTTATATCGTCAAAAGTATCTAATCTTTGATTTTCACCTACTTCAAGTAGCGTACACCTCTCTAAATGTCCTAGACAACAAGCTGTAGACTGTGATTTATTTTTCTTTACCTTAGTAATTCATTACTACTTGGGTTCTATAACTTACTTACTTCTTATTTCATTAACTACTAACCAATCCCTCCTTTGGAATCAACATTAATCTGATGACATTTTTATAGATTTGGAATAATCGATCTAATCTTAGATAAAATATCATTCACCTTTGTTCATGTACGCAGTTAGGGATTGTTTGTAGCTACTAAATATCTGTGAAAGCAAGTGGTCCATACGATTTTACGAATACCGTGGCTGTAAATTAATTATTCATTTCTGTTAAAATTGTATTGTGTCTAGGATATTGTTATGTTATGTTATGCTTCTTTCAGCTGTTCCCTAAATTCTCTTTCTTCCTTTGTAAATTCATTTTTATGATGCCTTTTACATGTATGCGTTTTCTATATTTCAGTAATAGTTTGCTTTAGATACAGCTGTGTTGTTTACTTACTTGATCCACTTCCGACAATTTGAGTATCGTATTTCAACTCAGTTCCTTTAGATTTAGATTTAACGTGGCATTTAATTATTTACTGAATAACTAATTAATCGTTTTGGTTTTGAATTTTTGGAAAGAAATTCACAAGGTTATATAGTTAGTTCAGAAGTGTTTATTTCATTGTTCATCGAGGCCCCAATACTTTTGTCACATTTTAGTTTTTGTAACTTAAAAACTTTACTTTTCTAATTGTTAACTGATGATTGAATATGAAATAAAAACTTGATTTATAATGTGATTTTACTAGCAACCTACAAATTACATCGTCACAGTGTTCCATCATAGCTTTCAGATAGTCTTATCTGAATTTTATTTTTCTAAATAATAGTGTATAAGCATCTTTGTTCGTGTGAAATTGTGGCGTTTAATACCAACAGTAGGCTTGATTAACAGTGTTTTGGTTTTTCAGTTAATAAAAAGGCAATTTAGAAGTAGTATTCATCATGGACTGATATCATTTGAGAAACCATTGGAAGTCTGGGAGCACTGGACAGCTGTTTCGTCCACCTAGTATGGGACTCCTCAGCAGTACGCACCCATGACCCGGCTAGGGATGGAATTCAGGACCTTCAGGTTTCACGGCGAATGCGTTAATCATTCAGGCACTGAGTTGGTTTCCAGTGGTTCACAATTTCCAACTGTTGTCAATTCACGACATAGTGCGACTATCACCCAAGGTTTTCAGTTAGCATCCACTTCACTTCTGACTGGTTGACCCACAGGTCATGGCTTCTCATTAGAGCTTCCTGATATCCATCTGGAAGCAAGTCACTAATGAGCACTATACAGTAATGTATTTTTGAGATGAATAGAGATTTTTAATTTAGAAGTAGTATTCATCATGGACTGACATCAGTTGGGGAACCATTGAAAATCTTGGAGCACTGGACAGCTGTTTCGTCCACCTAGTATGGGACTCCTCAGCAGTACGCGTTCGCCGTGAAACCTGAAGGTCCTGGGTTCGATCCTTAGCCGGGTCGTGAGTGCTCCCAGTGGTTCCCCAACTGATATATTAGTCCATATTCAATACTACTTCTAAATTAAAGAAAATCCCATTCATCTCAAAGAAAGGTAATTGTTTTGTTAAGTAGACAGTGGGTTGGGTGTTTAGCGAAATCCACTTAGCAGCTTTTAAATATACACATTGTGCTGCCTGCCTATGATCATTATTTGTTGGATATGTTATTGAGATTTTCATGCATGTCATTTAATTTTATTCAATGTTATCTAATGTTTTAACATAGTGATATTATCAATGATAATTGTAATGGAAAGCAGGATGATAGTGATGATGAATCCTTGGTATTAGTGCCTCACGATTTACCGCATTTCCCTCATAAAGTAAGTCGATAGTGTATGATCATCCCTTAATGTATGATGTACACGTTTATACGTTTCGATACACTTTGTTAGGTTATTTCGCATATAAAAGTCTGTTTGATGTTGTCTTTTTTTGTTTGAAAATCATTTTTTATTATCATAAACTGGTATAAGCGAAAAACAGTATGCATAGTAGGAATGAAAGCGGTTTATTTAAGGTTTTTTTTACATACTTAACGAATCAAAGTGGTGTTAAATGCATCTTAAGTGTATATACCAGATAGTCCTTTGAAGTTAAAAGTGTCGAATTGTTTCCTCGTAGTGTAGTGGGCTCTGCTGATCAGAATGGATAAAAGTAGTATGTGTTGAGAGAGCGGCAGAAATCATAGGCAATTACCAGAAATGGGTAAAGTTCTGCCCAGAGAACGCAAGAAGTAAAATGGACGTATTAAGACAAAGTCGAGATAGGAGCAGAGGATGAAATGAAGCACATTGGGAAAATGACTGTCTTAGTGGAAAGTGTACAATATTCGATGACTACTATACAAGATGTCAATAATAAACATTCCCTCCTACGTCTTAGTCGTCTTGTTTCCTTCAATTAGTATCGCTGCTTCTGGACGTGATGAGGATTCCGTGGCCTGCTGTTCTCGAGGATGGAAACATCGTCTTCCTCAGATACTTTTAGCCGGTCGCGCAGCTGGTGGGTGTTCGGGATCCAGGAGCGAAAGTTGTTGTGTCTAGCAGGATGCTAAGGGGCAGAGCGAAAGCGGCATGTGATGGCGTAGGACGTGTCGATGGTAAGGAGAAAATGTAAGGAACGAGAAAACGGAGACGTGGGAATGTTTATAATTCACATCTTGTATAGTGGTCATCAAATATGGTACACCTTGTACTAAGACAGTCATTTTCCCAATGTGCTTCATCCCCTCTTCTGCGTCTATCTCGACTTGCTCTTAATACGCCCACATGGCTTCTTGTGTTTCTCTGGGTAAAACTTTACCGATTTGTGGTAATTCCCTATTAATTCTGCCGCCCTCTCAACGCACTACTTATATCCATTCTGATCAGCAGCGCCCACCACAGTAGAAATGATTTACGGTTCTATATTTAATAGTGGTGATACAACACCACGGAAAGCATGAGCTTACAGTCAGCAAGGTTAAAATGACAGTCGACATGGTACTCGACCAATAACAAGTACCGAAGGCAAATCAGAGAAAAGTAAAAAATTATGCTGAAAAATCAGTTACTCATGAGTAACACGATAATAACATTGATAAATATTACCAAGTGAATGCGCACCACTGGTCTCATGCTAAAACGGAACAGCTGTCGAGTGGTCTCAGGTTTTCAGTTGTTCTAGAATAGATATCAGTCCATGATGAATGTTACTTGGAATTTTCGGCAAGTAGTTGCATTTTAGCGGTAGAACAGGTAAATTTAAGCATCAAAACTGCTCTATTTGTTCTTTTTTTTTCTATCAGGAAGTTTATCCACTGAATAAAATCTACAAAGACTTACTGGATTTAGCAGCTTATCTTCTACGTCCTGAAGGACGTTTAGTTTTCTGGTTACCAGTATTACGATCAACATTTATGGGGCAACTCTCGCTTCCACATCATCCTAGTTTCCGTTTGCTTGCTGCCTGTGAACAGGTAAGGAACTGAAATGATATGAAAGATTTACTGTTTATCTTTATAGATTTTGTATATCCCTAATATCATTTAGTTGTAGGTTGTATTTGTCTCCTTTGCTACAAAATTCTTTGCTTACTTTTAAGAAAGGTACTGAATGAATTGTTTTCTACCTAACGACTCTCTTCAAGGTTAATTTTTTACTTGATAAGGTTCAGCCTCTAGGAATTCACAGTAGTAGCGGAAGAGATAGCTATTTTAAAATCCTGGTTTTCATAGTGGCTCCAGTGTTTTATTTTGAGACCGATTGGCAGCACTTGTCTAGTACCTCTTGAAGATGGATCTTATTTCGGCCTACATATTTAACTTCCCTCCAAGTGAATAGCCGATTCCAACTTTATTCTACTCGCTATGGTTAAAGCATTCCTTTAGTGTATCACTAACTTTCATAGCTCTGATATATGAAAGTCTTTGCATAGTTACATAGTTTCGTTAGACCTAGAATACGCAGATGACATAGTCAGTCCTGTTAGGTGAAGACACTGAAAAGATGTAGAGTCTTCTGAACACTTTCAGTGGGGATTTGAGAATGTTTGGAATGCGTTTCTCATCACTCAAATGCATATTGTTGCTGCAGGATTGGTCTTCAACTGTGCCTCAGCTAACAATAGAGAGTGTAGTAGTTGAATGTGTCGACCACTTCACTTACCTGGTAAGCGGGATGAGTGATGGTGGCTCAGTGACCGATAAAATCTCTGATTGGGTATAGAAGACTCGGTTGGCTTTTGCCAAATTAAGCCACCTATGGCGCTGCCACGATATTTGATTGTCTATTAAGGGTCGCATGTACTGCACAGCAGTCCGGTCTGTTCTACCCGATGGCTGTGAAACATGACCACTGAAGGTGGAAGAAATGAGAAGACTTCAGGTGTTTGACCATCGTTGCCTTCGTAGCATAAGCCGTATTCCGTGGTGTCACCACGTAAGTAACGCAGAAGTCAGGTGTAGAGTTTTAGGGAGAAGAGGTAAGTCAGCTGACACGGTTGTGAACCTTCATCGACTGAGATGATTTGGATATATGTTACGTATTCCTAGTCGCCGACTGCTTCGTCAGAGAATGTTGGCCGAAGTAGATCCAGGCTGGAAAAAGCCTCCTGGCTCTCGGTCAGCCTAAAACATGGGATAAATGTATGAAGTGTTTGACTGTTGGTTTGAGCCATATATCTGCCGTATTCAATTCCTTTTTATTCTGTTTCGGAATAGATTAGTGTCTGAGATGCATTTTTTTTCACTATCCCAAGAAGTGTTCAACATCGACTAATATGACACTGTTGAATGTGACATGATAATTATTTGAAATTTTGCATAGCATTGTTGTTATAGTTACGAGTGTTTTAGTATCAACATTTATTACCTTTCTTGTTTAACCTTATGTCGTATAGACTTTGAACTCCCGTCATTCAAGGTATCTTGTAGTAATGGTAAAACTGAAGATAGATGAACAATCAGAAGATTATTTTGCTGCTAATAATGTTGAAAGTTTGATCTTCCCAGCTGTTTATGCTAAATAATACGAAATTCATAATAATTTCACTCTCAAGATTTTTGTATTTAAACAAAGCATATTTTTCACCTGATTTTTTCTTCCCTCTGTATACTTAAAGTATCATTGGGGGATTGTATATTTTGAATAAAAAAAGGTTATGATAATTTTTGCATAGTGTTCCAACCTTTTCTTTTATCATTGGGAAAGAGATGATGACCTAGATAGCGCTTTTTTTCTAGTTTTTATCTGCAGTTCTGTTGATAGACCTAATGTGTCGTTAGACACACATACACACACACATATACAGAGTATCAATAATTGCGTATTCTGTACAATATAGAGTTATTAATATACTAACGGAACCAAATAAATCGACGTGAAGTTAGCAGACGGTAAATGATTAAACATATATTCATTCCAGTTTAAAAGTGTAGAGGAGGGGGGCTAGAATTCCTATGTATCACCGTCTAACCGTGGTTGGAAGAGGATGTTGATATTACGAGAGTACTGAGTATGAGATTTACCGAAGCGTTAACTATTCGTAAACTTAAGCCTCCCAATCGTGTGTACAAAAACAATTTATTTTTTCATTTAATTTACCTTGGTAATCCTTATCTGATTGTATACTACTAAGACTGATGTCGACCGAGAAGTAAGTTGGAAACTGCTTCAACACTACGGTTTTAGTGCCACAAACCTTTATCAACCTCATTCAACAGCTATATGAAAAGGCCACGTGCCAAGTGATCCACAATGGGAAGCTCAGTGACGCCTTTGAAGTAAAGATAGGAGTAAGACAAGGTTGCTGCTTACTATCATCGATCACATCCCTGATTGTGGTGGACTGGATCATGCAGCAAACAGTGAAGAGCGAGGAAATGGGCATACGCTGGCTAAATCGATGAAAAACCCTAAAAAATTTGGATTTCGCAGACGATTTATGTTTAATGTCGCACAAACTCGAAGATCTACAAGCGAAAACTAACAAGTTGACAGAAGAGGCAGGGCACGGCAGCGAAAACGGGACTTCAAGTGAATGTAGAGAAAACAGAGGTGATAAAGATACTCAACCAAAAACAGCATCAACAACAAGCACCAATCACCATGAACGGGAGAAACCTCACGGAAGTTATCTCTTTCACCTACCTATAATCAGTAATGAAAGAATAGTTCCTCTGTTTTGCCTTGTAAGACTCCGTCATTTATTGGATCGAACTGACCACCCACTTTTGGCACATAGAGCACATCTATAAGGATGCCACAATACTGTAGGTATTTTCAGTTTAGATATTAATGATGGGTAGTGACTAGCAGCAGTTAGTGCTTCAGAGACTTGGCGCGTTACGAAAAGCATTTCCAACAAATTACAGACATACATCGAGAGCTGCTGCCTACGCTCACTCGATACTGAAGATCACATGGTCAGAATAATAAGAATAAGCAACAAGGAACTCTGGCCTGCCAACTAACCAACCAAGAAGCTATCACCCAACAAATATGCAGAAGAAAGTGGAGATGGATTGGGCCTACACTGAGAAGACCGTTTGGGGACATCACACGCAGGGCCAGGCCCTCAGGTGGAACCCGAATGGGAAACGAGTTGGGCGTCCGATGTAAGGGTGATATGGAGGAGATTGTGTGGGGAAAAAATGAAGGCTTATGGGCAGTCGTAGAGGTAGGTTGAAAAGACTGCAGAGAAGAGAGTGAAATGGAGGCGTGCTAGTGAAGCCTGACCTTTAATTTCGTTTGATATATAAATTGACTTAAGACAGGTAAATGTGTGATCAGTCAGATTGTTTGAAATGTGTTGGGTAAATACATCACAGATAATCAGTTTAAGGAACGCTGGGAACCTCGAAGCACTGAACAGCTATTTCGTCCAACTTGTGTGAGACTCTTCAGCAGTGCGCACTCATGACCCCACCAGGGACCGAACTTAGGACCTTCCAGTTTGAAACCAACTAATAAATCTTCGCAAACCTCGGGATAGAATTAATCTAGCGCTCATTGGTGACTAGCTTCGAAAGGCGATTCCTGAAGTTCCAATGTGAAGTCATGACCAGTGGAGTCAACCATGTCGACAGTTACTCAACAACGACATCGAATGGAGGTCGCGGTATATCGTGAAGTGACAGAAGTAGGAAATATGGACGATTAGATTCCGACCCAGTGTCTCAACGGTAACGTGCTGGTCATGTAACCCGAAGGTCCTGGGTTCGACTCCTGGGTGGGTGCCTCCTGCTGAGGAATCCCATGCTAGGACGGAATAGTTGTACATTGCTCCCAGGTTTCCAATGTTTCTCCAAACTGATGTCAGTCCATGATGAATTTCAGCCTGGAATTGGAGTTCACTTTTTATTGACTACTTAAGCGCTTCATGATGGACTTTCTGAAGTTGAAGTGAAATATTGTGACCTTCAGTATGAAATAAGTGGAGTTGTGAGGAGAAATACTAGCAGATGCCAGTTAATGATGGTCGCACTATATGACAAATTCAGTATCTTCTAATAAGTAATTGTTAGTAGCCATGAAAATAATTTGAGGATGAGAGTTACGTAAGAGAAAGGAACTGGGAAGTTTTAGAACCAAGAAATGAATTAGGGAATGGAAAAGTTGTTTCTTGATATATAAAACTAGTTTCGACTGTCCTATCTCCACAGCTTTAACAATGCAAAGTAAAGGTTACCACACACTCATTCAGAAGGTAATAGTGTACGTAGTAGATCGATGTAAACGAGTGATTACAATGGTCAGACGATAAGACTCCTAACTTGGTGATCTCAGTGCAAAATGATAGATAAATTTTGATCCACACTTAAGGCTAAACAACATGAAATCACTAGTTCACTAGTGAACAAGCAGCGTACAGTCAAATTAGGCAAGAGATAAACAAAAGTAGTTTATATATTAAGGATGGATAGTCGCTCTTTGTGTGGCAGGTATAGCATAGTTTTGATGTAATAACTTGTGAATCTCCGTCGCTGATTGGATCGAATTGGTTGGCTACTACTAGTATGCAGGATTCTGTGAGGCTGCCTCAGTATTGCCGGTATTTTCAATCCTGATATTAATGCTGGTAAGTGGCTAGCAGTGGAATCCAGGATGCTTAGCATATAACGCTCTGATGTTTGAAGTGATTATTTCTGGGTTAGAGTCTTGATGGGAGAAGAGTAAGTCTCGGACAAGATGAAACGCACGTTCTCCCATATGCCAATAGTGGCCGATCCATTCGGTTCAATCAACGAGGGAAATTTGCAGGCTATTATATCAAAAAGTAGATTATTCATAACTGAGCTATTTGAATGCTTATACTTTTAACATGACCCTCAAATTAGACAAGTTTTTGAACAAATCAAATAAGCAAACTAGAAAAAGTCATTCCATTTTACACTTCGAAAAAATGACTGAATACTTTCATGAAATCAACCAAAGCTTTTTTCTGCCCATTTACCTTATTTGGTTTGAAACTAAGAAAGAAACAGTGGTCCATTCTTTTCTAATTTCCAATGAAAGGTTCTGTAGATCATATTCTGTCAGAAAAAAAATTAACTTAGAATCCAAACGATCTCTTAAACCACCTGGCTGAAAGAAGACATTGCCAATCGTGATGGTAAAAACCAGTTCTTTCTGCACATTATCGTGGCTATGAAAGCCGCCACCTGATTAACAGTAAGTGATCGAACTTAAGGTAAGATGATGTGCTTAAATACACATAACGAAGTTTTCACTTTCAATACTTATATATAACTCGTTAAGGTATTGAAAATCTACTGGAAGAGTTTTCATTGTCCCATTGCTGATGAATAATTCTTTAAGAAACTGTTGTTATCATAAATAGTTTAAATGAATGTTGATAGGTCTTGCTTAAATGTATTATAAGTTACATGGCGTGTAAGTATACGGTAAATCGAATGACCATCTTTGATCGCAGTATTTTGTTTAGCTGAATTATTTACATTATTTGTCTTATCCTGATTGGTTAACTAAGAAAATCAAATCGATTAAATGAAACGCATGTTCGATCGACCAATCAAATTCAAGGTAAATTAAGATAATAAATTAGTCACCTATAGTGTAGTTTAATATTGCAAAAGCACTTCTGAATAGCAGATATTTCAAAGAGAATATCCGTATACTTTAGACTACAAACTCCTGTCAATAATGTACTGTAACTCACTACAATGCACAGATATATGAACCCACCCAGTCTTCAATTACTTTTTCATAGACAGTGGTTTCACCACAAGTATTGTATTATTCAAGTCGTTACTTCTTATGTATGAGTCATTCAATAAATTTTAAACAATACTACACATTCATTTAAGTAGAATTGATTATACACTATGATGTCTGCAGTTGTGAACATCACATCTCGGTATAAAAATAACTTCGTGAGTTTTATGCAAGACATATGGTGATTACACATGTACACAATTTCATTTGTCATTTTTGTTCATCAAAAGAAATAAGGTACGCGATAATGGTGCGTAACTATCCAAGACGCCACAGCTAACGTAAACACCTTAAAGTAGAAGGAACCAAAATGAACAATGGAGAAGAAGAAATGTCATCGAAAGTCTTTGAAAGTCGAAAGTAAAGAAAAATAACCGGGACGACAAACAGAAAAGTGTTATCCAACGACTAGTATGAAGATAGTGCGTATATGCATCATTATATCAATGACATAAAGTTTCAACGGCTTCACTGACAGAGTAGAAATACCAATTTTGGTTGTCATGTATCACTCAGTTCGGCAACCTGAGCTTCCCTACTCGGCTCAGACCAATAGTTGTAGACCCATACACCTTCTACTCATTACTTACAAACTCAAAGAATTAATCATATACACTACTGTGTGAAGTTTTTAAAAACTTTATCAGTATTCCATTAAATTCTGATCCAGTAAAGGATTATTCAGATAAATAATTCAAGGCGACTTCAATATATAACTTCCAAGAATTAGACATTTGAAAACTGGGCTGGTAATATAAAGGCTATTGATTTGAATCTCATCATTAACAAAAC